AGGGGAAAAGGAGGAAGGGAGGCCATGAGGGTCGGCACCGCCCCTCATAGCCAACCCTGGCTCTTGCTCTGAGTCCCTGCAAGGTCCCTGTCTGCTGGAAGCAGCGCCTGCGTGGCCACAGCACACCACTGTGTGCACCTGGACCAACAGCTTAGCTCCAGACCAGAGTCCAGCTGAGCGGTGGCCTTTGCTCCCAAGGCTGGTTGCAGGGAGATGGACACTTCCACCTCGATTACTCTCTGGCCTCTCAGGCATGGCTCCCCCTGCCATGCGGTAGGCACCTGTGGAGAAGCCCATCTGGCGGGGACCAAGGAGCCAATAAATGTGAGCAAGTGAGCAAGCTTGGAGACAGTCACCTCCAGGTAAGCCTTCAGGTGAGGCTGCTTTTCTCTTTAATACCAGGGCCTTCGCACTGAGCCACATCGCTCTTTGTTTGAGACAGGGTTGTACTAAGTCACTAAGTTGCCCAAGCTGAGGTCAAACTTGGAACCATCCTGCCTCAGCCTCCCAGAGTGCTGGGATTGCAGGTGTGTGCCACCATACCCAGGCCCAGCCAACAATCTGCACCCTCACAAGAGACGAAGCCAGAGGCAGCTGGCTGAACCACGCCAAGGATCCCAACCACAGCAACTGCCAGACAATTGTTTGTTGTTTTAGGCGACTGCATTTCCGGACGATGTGCTGTGCTGCAGTAGATAACTAGTACAGCATCAATCCTCCGTTCCTCAGATAAGGGAATGGAGGGCCTGAGAGCTAAGGATTCGCCGGGGCCACGCAGCGCTAAGTGGCCCAGCTGGACTCGGAATGCCTCAGAGTCCTGGAGTCAGGAAGATTCGATTCCTGTCCCTGCCCTCCCAGCACCCCCCAAACCCACCAGGCCAGGCCTCAGCAGGGGGCAGAGGCGAGGAGCACTCGCCCACCACCCTGAGTTCCCCCTGAGTTCCCCTGTGCCCTCGCTACTTGGACAGCAAGCACTTCCCCGCCAGGTGCCCACGGGGCTGAGGGTGCTGGCGGTCAGGCCTCGCACAGCCGGAGGAGCCCAGGCCACCTCCACGGAGCCAGGCGCCATGCAGACCCACAGCCCGCCTCCTCTCTACAGCCCGTGGCAGACCTCACCGTCCCCGGCCCACGGAGGGGACATGGACACCCGGAGTGGCCAAGCAGCGCCCACCATCCCATCTCTCTCCACCTCGTCTGGTCCCTACCCCCCGGCCACCCCCTTCAGCTCCACCAAGGCCTGTGCCCCACACCCTTCCCTCTGCCTCCCTGACCTGGCACCACAAGGGCGACAAGCGCCAGGCAGCGGGCGGAGCTGAGGGAACCAGGAGCCGGGCTGCTGCCGCCTCCGGGAACCCCGTGCCTTGCGGGTGTGGGTGTGGCCGGAAGTCACAGACTCACCCAGGCTCCTGGGAGCTCCTCACAGCCTGAGCCCCCAGAGCTGCTGAAGCAGGACTCTGAGCTTCTCAAGGCTCACAAGGGCGCCTCCTCTCCTGCTGCTGGTCTGAGATTTACAGAACCCAAGCAGGAGAAGTGGGGAGTCGGCCCGGTGGGGCCAGACATGGTGTCCCCGGAGGCACCAGCTGCACAACAGCGCCAGCCACTTTCCCTTCCGGGCCACGCACCCCCTCGGTGAAAGGAAGGAGGGGACCCAATCTCTCAGGTGCCCAGGCCCAGGGACCCTCAGGCCAGTCTGGGGTGACCTGCGCATCTGGTGTGCCTCTGAGTGTCACCCACGTCACCCCTCAGCTAGGGGCTGCCCTCGCCCTGGAGGGGACAGAGGGAGGGAAGAGGAGGGAGAGGGCGGCCTTCGGGGTTACTGCTGCTGCTGTGGGCCTCCGTGACTCCACCACCCCAGCCTGCCCCAGGACCAGCCGCCGCCCTGGAAAGCCGCCTGCCCCTGAGAGATGAGGCATGGAACCGCTCCAAGCACTTTCCAAATAGCCCATTTCTCCCATCAGTGCCCTCCGGGCTGGTCCCAGAGGAGCCCACTCCCACGCACGCACGCAGGCCACGGGCACAGATACACCACAACTGCCTACAGCTGCTCACCTAGCAATGCAGACAGACAATACAGAGAGCACTCGAACAGAGACCCCAGACACTTCCTCAGACACAGAGTTTAGACTACCCCACCCTAGAATGCTGGTCGGTCTCTGCCACCTGCCCTTCATTCCCTGTAGCCAGTGATCCAAAGTCTTTGGCTCAAAGCACCTCAAACGCCCAAGGCCACAGAGGAGACATGGAGGGCCATTTGAGCAAGACTTCAGGGCCAGAAGCAACCCAGGGAGGGAGCCCCCTGCTGGCCCCGCTCACCTCTCAGGGAACAACCAAGAGCCCCGGGCAGTCCGTGTGGACGTCCAGGCGGGTCGTGTGTGTGTGTGTGTGTGTGTGTGTGTGCGCGCGTGCGCGCACGCGCAGGAGTGAGTACATACGGGCTGCGATGTGGGGCACAGGCACACAGCCCTGCACACCCCGTCTCCTGCTGTGGACAGCAGGCCAGGGAAATGGGGCGTCCAACTGGACCTCTCCAGTGCCCCCAGCCTGGACGCCCACCCAAACTGTCCTGCTGCCCCAGGGGAACGGGAAACAAGGCAGGGAAGGCCTGCAACCTGGGGCTGAGAAACACCTGTCCACACCTCCTGGGTTTTCCCCAGGCTAATTTCCTGCTCCAGCTGACCCACACAGTCCTCCTCACAAGCTGGGGAAGATGAGACCCTGAGGCGAGGGAGGCCCCGCCCTCATCAAGACAGGCATCTGCAGATGAAAACAGCACTGAGAGTCCACCTCAGCCCAGAAAGAGCGGCTGCCATCAAGAAACCAACCAATAACAAATGCCGGAGGGGCTGTGGGGAAAGAGGAGCCCTGCTCCACTGCTGGTGGGAGTGCAGACTGGTGCACCACTGTGGAAGTCAGTATGGAGATACCTCAAAGAACTAGGACTAGAGGTCCCATTTGACCCCACTATTCCCCTGCTGGGGATCTTCCCCAAAGAATTAAAAGAATCATACCACAGAGATATATATGTGGCCATGTTCATAACAGCACAGTTTGTAATAGCTAAAGCTTGGAAACTGCCCAAGTGCCCATCGACTGGAAACTGGGTAAAGAAGATGTGGGTTTTTTATAAAATGGAGTACTACTCAGCCATAAAGAACCAGAAACTAGAGTCATTTATAGCTAAATGGATGCATATCGAGGCCATCCTCTGAAGTGAAATAAATAGGACACACATGTGTAAATACTGAATAGTTTCTCTAGTGTGAGAAACTGAGAGTGTAAACAAGAGTTAACATGATTAAAATGAATAATTGATAATTTGAAATAGGAAAAAGGGTCCAAAGACCAAGGAGTGAAGGGAGGGGAAGGGGAAAGGAAAAGAGGAAAAGGAAAAACTATGAGAAAAGAAAAAAAAATGGAAATGAAATCTATGTAAATAGGGAAGGGTGGAGGGGGTGAAGGGCACACAGGTAATGGGGAGAAAAATAACCAAGATCCATCATGTACAGGTACAAACACCCAACGATAAATGTAAACGAATTGTATACCTAAAGTGTACCAATAAAATTAATTTGAAAAAAAATTTTTAAAAAACAAACCACGCATCTCTGCACCCCAGAGCACACGCTCAGGGGCCCTCAGGGGGCCCACACCCGGGAGCCTGTGCTTGGGCAGCTGGAGGGCAGAGAGCTGTGTCTGCAGCTCACTCCGAGGGCTTCTCACCCTCTTGCTCGGGCCATGAGCTCGTCCAAGTCTGACCCCAGTGGAAAATGTCAGTCAGCTCCAGACCCGGTGTCAACAGCCCCTCAGGGCCAGCGTGCCCTGAGGAGCCCCCGCCCCGCAGACAGGCCAGCCAGTCCAGGTCAGCTCACCCGAGTCTCCAGCCAAGGCCAGGCTACTGGCACTGCCCGGCCGACTCTGGATTATGTGTCTTCCAAGTCCTCCCATCTGTCACTCACCTCCAGGCTCAGGACAAAATTCATTTCCTTTTAAGAGGACCAATGGTTTGCTTTTCCTGTGTCTTTCTCTGCCTTTTTCTTTTTAAATTAGAAATTACTCTCCCAAAGTCCAGAGTCTAGGTGGAGGAAGGCACCTGGTCACCAGTCCTGGCCACAGCTCCAGGCCCCTCAGTGCCCAGCAGACTCGCAGATGGAGGCTGCTCACCTCTGGACGCCCTGTCTGAGAGGGAGGGCAGGGAGCGTGGTAGAGACCCCCGCCAACTTCGGCACCACCAGACTGGGGGGGAACCCAGCTCCAGTCCTGAGGAAGGCAGACCCTTGGGGGACTGGCGCCACACCACCCTTGGCTCCCAAGACCTCAGCACCCAGCCAGGGGCACAAGAGGACCAGAGTGGGGACAAGCAGGAGCCCAGCAAGTAGGGTGCCCTCCCTCCTTCTCTGTCACCCACCCACCCGTTGGTCTGTCTGATGGAGGGAGGTGAACACGGGTCAGAAGTTCAGCGGCCTCCCTTGAGGAAGTTGCACTTTGAGAAGGCCGTGTGGGTGTCACTAGCACAGCCGTGTGCTCAGACACACTCCGGCACACTACACACCCACAGAAAGCTCCACAGCACACACACATGCACAGTCTGGCACACACGCGTGTGACCACACATCTTCCCATCTCCATCATGGGTCACACCGCACCAGCTCCACGGCCCACATTCCAGGGCCACAAACAGCTCCCACTGTCCAGCCGTGGTCTGCCACCGTCGGGGGAGAGGCAGGTAGGGACAGCCAGAACCTCCCATTCTACCCAGGGGCTGCTCAACACCAGCTAAGAGGACAGAGAGACTGCAGGGCGACTCCACGCCAGACCTGGCCTCCTCAGAGCCCCGGACTCCCCACCGATGCCTTCCACCCAAAGCTGCCCTCACAACCCGGAGCCCCAGGGAGCGAGGGTCAAGGGGATGGCGGAGCCCTTGGTCCCCCTGTCCCTGCTCCCAGCTTCCAAGGCTGTCCCCGGCTGGCAGGGGGCGGGTCTCCTGAACCCACAGGCCTTACCGTGGAGGGTGCTCCGGGTGATCTGTCCCCCCATCGCAAGCAGCAGGCAGTGCGGCCACCTCCGTTGGCTGGTCAGCCTCGTCACCGTCACCAAGCAGCCCCAGACATCAGCTCCCTCCTCCTCCCCCAGCCCTACCCCTGGGGCTGGCAGGCATGGCAGGGCTGAGCGACCCCTCCCGCACGCACACACCCAGCCGGGGCGGCCACACACGCACACGCGCACACCCGCCTCCCAGCGTCCACCCACACTGAGCCTCCCCCGCCTCCCGCTGTGCAGGCGATGGGATCTGTCATGTTTATTTACATAAGGAGGAGGAGACTGGAGGCAGCCTGAAATAGCCCAGCTCCAGAAAGCACTGGAGATGCCCCAGTGCACGCTCCTTGTCTGGAGGCTCCTCTCTCTCACACACACGCTGCCCTCACAGACACACACGGGTATAGTGACACACACGCACAGTTCACCAATCGCCTGCACCTGCAGCCATTCATTCTTCCCACGCTATTCCGAGCAGCCAAGGGCTGGGAAGGAGGCAACGAGCAGACAGACATCGTCCCTGCCCTTGGGGAGTGCAGGTCCCAGCTAGGGGGCCATCGACAAAGACCTGACTCCACTTCTACCCTCTTCCAGGCTCTGTTCAGAGTTCTCCAAATATGAATGCCTCCAGTCCTCACAAGCTGTCCCACTGACCAGTCAGCAGGTACCAGTCCCAGGAGACGATGATGCTAAAGCTGGAGTCCAAGGCCGGGAGAGATGTCCCAGGGGCGGCAGGCTGGGTGAGGAGCACCCTGGACCCCACACTGGGCTGCCCCCTACCCATGTGTCCACACACACCGTGTCTGCTTGTCCCAACTTCTCAAAAGTTTAATTCAACTCGGCCACACTCCTAAGGACCTGCTGTGTGCCGAGCCCCAAGCTACACGTGGGGAATGCAACAGTGATGGACAAGGGCTCTCACGGGCTCCCAGTGCAGAAGGAAACGGACTTACCCAGCAGCCTTGGGAAGGAACATGTGAACACTGTTCCAAAGGAACAGCATTTGATGTCAGTAGAAAGACGCACTGTGTAATCACCACCCTAGAAGTGCTGGAAACAAAGGAGCAGCTTTCCGAGGGCTCAGGACAGGTTTTCGTGAAAAGCAGTGGTGAAAGCAAGACTTGCAGGCAGTGGCTGTGTGCTGTGGAGGGAGGCGGGGATGGAGCGTTCCCCAGAGAGAGCACACACAGCCTGTGCAAAGGCCCTGGGCCTGGGGAGCAGGGTTGGTGTGTCTGGAGCAGCCTCAGCAGGAGCAGGGTGGGGAAGGTGGCTACTGGCAACCCCAGACGGGCTGGGGTAGTCCACGAGGGCCTTGGGGAGCAGGGTGAAGAATCTGGCAACAAGAACCCCCTACCAGCACCAGCAAGGATTCCCAAGACCAGCCTCGCACTTCACCAGGGTCACTCTGCCACCGAGGGGTGCCCCTAGGACGGGAGGGGCATAAGGGCAGAAGGCAGCGGCACCTGCAGGGTGGGGCCTGCACCCGGCTCGCCCTCGCTCCCCTGGGGCCTAACGCGGTGCCCTCATGGAGCCACCCTCGGGAAACAGCAGAGTCCTGCGGCTCTCCAAGAGGGCTGTGGGGAGCAGCTACACAGTGACCGAGAGGGAGCGGGCAGGGCCTGAGTGGAATGCTAGTGGGCTGGGGACCCAGGCCTTCCCTGAAGCCTCACCCGGAGGTTCCAGCTGACCTGCTGGCTCCTGGCTCCCACAGCACACTGCCTGGCTGCATCAGGAAGCAGCAGTGTCCTTGTCTGCAGTGTCCCTCCCTCCTGCTCCCCCAGGCTGCGTCCAGGGCCTCTCTGGGGAGGCGGCGCCCCTCTACAGGCTGGAGTCAGCGATGCACGCCTCCTGGGATTGATTCATCGGGCACTGCGTAGAACTTTACCTGGCCAAAGGGCTCCAGTGAGAATGAGAAGACCACTGACCACATCATCCATTCACCCGGCACGCACTCACTGAGCCCCAACCCACCAGGGGCCAACTGGTGCGCAAGATGCAGGCCGCCCTAAGAAACCAGTCCCAGACCCCGGGGGGAGCCATGCTGGGATCAAGGAACGACATTCTTTGGACTCTGGGCTAAATAATCTCTGAGCTCCACTCTATTGCCACACTCTGCTGCAGATCTGCAGAAGGGGTCTGCATGCTCCTGCTGGCTGACCCTCAGCAGTGCCTGGGAATGGGCTAAGGATTTTGCATGCATAATCTCAGCGCTCCCATAGCATCCCTTCAGGAGCTGTAATCACCCTGCTTTTTCGGGCTGTAAAACTGAGGCTCACAGAGGCGCTGCCAAGCAGACAATGAACTGGGCTTTAAACCTAGACTTGCCTGGCATCAGAACCAGTGCTCTATTCAGAAAAGGTCAAAGGACATGGGCTCCTCTCGCTTGGGGAAGAGAAGAGGACCTTCTCCTGAGGAGAGGAGGGTTCCAGTGGTGGCAGAGCCTAGCAGTTTTTCAGGGAAGGGAGAGTGACAGACAGCCCAGGGTGGAGCACCAACAGGCAGAGGGGCAGGCCAGGTATAAACTGCTGGTCCAGGAAGATGCTCGAGGTCCCATCTTGGAGAAAGCAGATGCATCACAAGCTGGGAGAGGACAGACAGGAGGAAGGCTGGCCCAGGGTGCCCTGATGTGACCGAATCCCTGCTGGGCTCCCAGAGAAACCCCCTTCCTTTCCAGTGGAGCTGCAGCTGCCCCTCAGCCCCTTAGCTGTCTGAACATCAGCTCTCAGGTGCCGCCCCCCCGCACCCCCTCCTCTTCCTGTTCCTCCTTCCTGGGGCACCCTCGAGGCTTCCACTGTGGGCTGCCTCGCTCAGCTCTTTCTCAGCTAGTCCCTCCTCATCTTCGTTCCCACCGGGCGAGAGAAACCACCTGAGTCCCAGGCTCAGAGGCCGCTAAGGGGAAGGAGCCTCCAGGTGGCAGCAGGCCCAGCCTCTGCCTGTGCCCTGTGCAGGGCACCAGGCCTAGTACAGCATAGGCCTCCCGAGGCTGTGTGGCAGGTAAGGTGCAGGCGGACTGGAGCTCAGGACTGGTGTCTGCAGAGGCTGCGCCTAGTGTGACACGGAGGCCGAGGCTCTGGGAGGTACAGGAGACGATGCTGTGCAGGGAGGAGAGGTGCCTCTCTCTCGTGGGGCCAGGGAGGTGAGCAGTGTCCCGGGGGTCGGGAGGGGGTGGCTGGCTGGGCACCAGCTGGGAGCGGCTTCCGGTTTCCAGAGTTTTCCGCCAAGGACAAGAGATAATTTGATTGAGGCGATGAGTCACCCAGGCTCTGGGGCTTAAGGCCGACCTGCGTACTAGGCTGGGCCTGGCGCTGGGGAACGGGGACCAAGGAGCCCTACCGCAAGCTTCCTCCCATGACCAGAACCAGGACGAGAGTGTGGCTGCTGTCTTGGCTCTGAGAGAGCGAGGGCAACAGCACAAAGGCACCAGGAGACAGAGACCTTGAGCTGCACGCTGCACAGAAACTGGAGCCGGGAGCTCAGAAGGCGCGTCCTCGGGGCTGGGCAGGTGCCCCACAGCGACAGCTGCCAGCTGCCCAGAGAGCCGGAACACAACAGGTGCAGATGCTGGGGCGGGACTGAAAGGGGGTCAGGGAAAACAGCCTGGCACAGGGCCTCCGGGCTCCTCCCTGGCCCCAGCCCTATCGCAAAGCAGCCTTTGCCGGGACGCCCAGGACACAAACACACCTGAGAATGTCCCCAGTTCTGGGCCGTCCTAGACCACACAGAAGGGTAGCTACCATGCCAGGCAAGAAGGGCAGAACAGGAAGAAACCAGGTTTCTGTTCCCCAGACCGAGGCCACACCCACAGAGCCCCCAGCTAGAAGCAAACGCGTGCCTGTGATAGGATCTTTGTCACTGGCCAGGAAGGGAGGATGGATGTGCCCACCCCACCCATGTGGAGGCTGGGCACACTGGTCGAGGTCAGACCGGTCAGGTTTATGCCGTGTGACCTGGCACCTCTCCTCTAACACAGGCATGACATGGCACAGATGCTGGTGAGGACAGAGTGACACGAGGTCCGTGTGGCGCGCTGCCTGGCAACTGCCCAGAGACCCTGCAGGTCCTGGAGGGGCTAAGGCCCCACCCAAGCTCAGGGGGTGAGGCTCCACCTGCACCTCGAGGCGGGAGAAGCGGAGGACCTCTCCAACAGGGGCACCTCATCAGCATGCGCCACTTCCTGCCCCTGACCTGCTCTGAGCTGTAGTATGTCACCGCTTGTCTGTAGAATACGCAAATCCCACGGCACTGTGCCAAGGAACAGCGGGTCAGCTAAGTAAGGAGATTAAGCACTGCCCTTTGTCACCTGGTTAGCCCTCTGTTTTTGATCAGGGTGGAATGAATTTTAAACTTGAACTTAGCTCGTGTCCCAGTCACAAGTGACAAATCACCAGGGTCTGAATGCATAAGCCTCCCTTGTTACAATATACCCTTGAGGGGAAGGTGAGGAAGGACAATGACACGTCTACTTGGGGAGGAAAGGCAGCCAGACAGGGAGACCTGAAGTGACAGAGGAGCCGGGACACGTGTGCAGGAACAGGGCACGACTCCATCAGGGATACGGAAACACACCTGACTCACCCCTGCTGGGCCTTTGGATTATGAGCAAAGCCGGCAGCTGAGCAGAGTAAGCCCTCCTGTGCAGGCAGAAAACCTCCCCATCCCTCCCGCTCCACCCCACCACACTCCCCAAATACCACCCATTCTGGCACTAGGCCCCCGGCTGGCAGGAGCCACCCCTGGCCTCCTGCAGCCACCTCCTTCCTCCAGGCAGCTACATCCCTCCCTCTCTCTGCCTCCAGCCACCTGGCCCTCCACACTCACTCCTGTGCTGCCCTCCCCCAGTGCCCACTGCTGGGCCACTCCCTCCAGCCCTGGGCTCAGACACGTCATCACAGCAGGTACGACAGTGATGGCCCAGGACTCCACCAGCCCCTCCTAGGGCTGGGCCCTCCCAGTAGGGCCCCCAGCAGCTGGATTCCAAGTCAGCAGACACCAGCACCACTCACTGCTGCCACTTAGGGTGCTGTCTACACCAGGGCCTCAGAACGGGCAGTGGTCAAGAGCAGGCTCCGGCGACACACTTCCTGGGTTCAAATCTGGATTTTAACACCTCCTGGGATTCCACTTCCTCTTTTGAAACATGGGCTCCATAAGAACAGCGCCACTCCTGAGGCTATGGGGAGCCGGAAGAGCACTGCCCAGCAGTGTGCTCCGACCCAGGT